ACCAACCACTATATAGAAATCTAAAGCTCATAGTTTAAATATCATATTGTAGCATTGCTGTATATGTGCCATACTTACACTTGTTGTGCAAACTCAAAGTCAAGTTTTTGTTCCTTATAAATCTGGCCTGAAAATACAGACCCTAAAAAAGATGATTAAAAAAAAAAAAAAAAAAAAGTTGTTAGAATGTTTACTTAGACCACTTTGTTTGCCTAACAGCCATATTTAATTTCTGAACAAAGATAGAAGTAGAGCTTCTGATTCATATTTCACTCTTTATTGCATAACATTTTACATTAAAGAAAAACACTTGTTAGTGGAGTAATTACAGCATAATGAGACATGGTTTGGAAAGCTTAGTGCCATTTCTTTAGTCAGAAAATAGATAAACTGACCAAGGATTGGGGTGAGGAAAACTGTTAGGCTTATTTCATCTTCCTTCCATAAACAGAGGCTATGGTGTGTGTGGATACATGTATGTGTGCTGTGGGATAGGTGTTCACATGCCTCAAAAGTACATTGTGAAAGTATATTAAAGTAGATTAAAAGTAGATTAAAATTTATTCTTTAGCTTTTTTTTTTTTTTTTTTTTGTAATTAAAAAGTACAAATTCTTTCTTGTGGTAAGTACCTGTTTTCCATTTCTATGTTTCTGAGTTTTAGTAGCATAATACAAACAAGGGCTACTTTCAGAAAAAAATCATGTCTGGGATTGACTCAATTTTGTGTTTCTTCTTTGTTTTCAGTTTTCTGTTTTGAATATTTTTTTGCTCACAAGAGAAGGAAAACTAAATTTTAAGGAAGTCTACTATGTTTTTTCTTGGTCCTTTCAAATTGTGTAAGATTTAATGATAATTTTATTTCTATTGGTTTCATTTAAGATTTAGGTTAATTCCTAATAAAGCCTTATAAGAATGAATAAAACATGAAGTCATTGAAGATAGTGACTGAAGCCATTACCTCTTCAAGGCAACAGAATATAATGAAATCAGTTTCATTTCTTATGTAGAAACCATACTTTTGTGAAATTTTTAATATACTTTTTTTTGGTTTATATTCTTTTTTAATTGCACATTAATTTTGCTTTTTTTTTTTGCAGCAATCACTTTTAACTGAAGTAACTGCATTGTCACAGACTGATACATTTTTTTCAAATATTTTCAATTTGTTCTTCTTGACATTTTATGTTATGTGCAGTTTGCATCTTTTTTGTTTTTCAAATTCAAATGTAACAGATTTTGATATTTTTGTTACATTTTTTGTTTTTGTACTAGCTGTTTTTTTATTTTTATTTTTGAGAACCTGCTGTTTTTGAATTCTCTTTTTTCCCTTTATTCTCCTCCTCACTATGATCCCAGGAGCCAACACAAAGAAAAGCGCAGATGATATAACCAGTAATGATCGTGGTGAAGATGAAGGTATTTTTTGTTTTTTCAAAGCTCAACCCTGATGCATGAACATAAACTTTTACATTTTTATTATAATAATATTGATTATTATTGTTATTGTTATTACTGTTATTTCAACGTGATTTTTAGTCCCTTATTTGCAGAAACACACTTCCGTGTGCTTTTTTATTTTCTTCTTTAGAGATAACATCAATTGTTTTTCTTCTTAAAATCTAAATTAACATTTAGATAACTGAAATTCCCCTGTAACATAAGTGCAAAGTTTATTCCTAAATATGTGTGAAGTGAGTAACAAGAACACTCTTGAAAACCACATACTTCCCCTCACATATACTTGATTTGGTGAGAAAATGGAATTTAAAAACATGCATGTGCTATTCTCCCTCTTACATTTTTTGAAAATCCACCTGTTTTAAATTCATGAAAAAATCTTGCATACATTCTTTATTTCATTTCCACTGTTTCCCCAGTGCACTTGCTGTACATTAAATGCAGTTGCATTGTGCTTCATCTTTGGTATTTTAATTCATATATGTTTCTCACGGGATATGATTTATTTCTAGGATGTAAAAGTAAAAGAAGCTGTTGATGTTGCTTTATTGTTTTGTTGATTTTGTTTGTTTGTTTGTTTGTTTTTTCCCTGTAATCAGCTAGCCTCTGAGATACATTCTTTCTGGCTATGACCACATTCCCACTGAAATCAATGACAATCTTTTTCATTGACTTCTTTCTGAGTTGGATTGGATTTCCTGAAAGGAAATGTTAAAGTTCACAGTGAAGTACCCCAAAAATGTTTTGCAAGAAAATACTTTTTTTCTTGCCTTGGCACAGAGAAGGCAGGATGCCCTGATTTAGAAAGAAGTCATGAAATCTTCCTCTATTCTCACCATCCTTTTCATTTATGTTACACTGGTATTTTAGTATGCTTTTTGTACTTACCAAATTAAGAAAAGTATTTTCAAATTAAATGAGCAGATCACCACCTTGGGAGGTTTGTTGTTCTGTTTTTTCAGCAATGTGTCTCTTTCTCTCTTTCTTATCCATTCCAAAATGCCTTTATAATTTTCTTCAATCTAAAGTTCAAGTGCATTTGAAAAATTTGCTCTACTGGTTCCCCTTAGAATCATGCATATTGTGTTGAGGTTACTTTTTAATTTCCTCTTGCTTGGGTGTTCAACTCAATTATAGCTACTCTATCCATGTATGAAATACCACAATAAAAGTCTCCAGTCTTCAATACACAGTGGTTGCCATCTACTGCACAACCTTCATTTCTGAATTGCACTATTTCTTGTAACAAAAAAATGCTCTGCAGACTTCCTCTGTTATTGTCTGAATTTTGTTCTATTTCTGTTTATAAATGTGTCTCTACATATGCCTTTTCAAAATGACAGTATTATCATTTGCTATAACAGATTCTATGGTCAATTTTTAAGCAAAAGATAAATAGCAAGTGAAAATAAAATTGCTCGTAAAAATTAGATATTTGATTACGAACAAATAATTCTTTCAGTTTTCTTCAGAAGTTATAAAGTGTTAGTATGCAACTTCGGATCCAAAGAAAGACATACAGTTTAGGAACTAAATACATAAAATGCATGAAGCTCATTTCCTTTATGTTGAAGTTAATCATGTTCCCATTGAAGGGAAAATCTCTCACTGATTTCAGTGATGAAAGATTCAACCCTGAGGAAGTACTTTGCAATAAGAAAAGATAGACTATAACAAATAATGCCACAAAACTTTTGGGGAAAGAAAGGAAAGGTTATTCTCTAACACAAATAATTGCATTTAGTAGTTATTGCTTTAATTTTCTGAGAGCTAAGCCCTCACAGGAAAAAGAAACTCTTTTCATGTATTTTGCTGTGAATGCTGCAAAGAGAAAAATACCTAATCTGTACATTATTGTGTACTTTAATGCTTTACATGACTTCTTCAATGTCTGCATCTCTCTAATAGTTGCAGAAATTACACAAATCTTATCACAGAGCTTTTTGTTCTGCTGCCTAGATGCAACATATAAAATACAACAAATATATATGTTCATGACCAGAAGGCAGATTCTATGAGAAGTCTTAAATTCTAACAGCTATGTGGATGTTGGCCATATTATCCTTTCACTCAACAGATGACTTTAGATATTTGTATAAGCAAAGTGGTAGTTTGCCATAGAAATATGACCAGTCACAATTTACCTTGAAATACTTTTCAAATTTCTTCCCCATATACAAAATATTGTGTATGGGATGGCTCATTGCTGCTCGCATTTTTGGTAACTGAGAGTTAATCCTAACAAATCTGAGGGAGCTGAGAGCCTTAGAAGCCTTCAAAGTCACTGCTCTTTCCTCTCTGCATTTATCTCAGCCTGTTCTTCCTCCTCTTATTTTTTTCCACTGTTCAACACAACTGTTGAAAATTACTCAGAAGAGAGCTCAGTTGCTTCTTTTTGTATTTAAATGCTGACTATGTAGTCAGAGACATTGCTTTCCCTAGTGTTTTGTATTATTTAATTGAAAGAAGTGGTCCTACTCCACATGCAGATAGAGTGAATTGTTTGTAAACAGTGTATAGTTAATTCTAACAACAGCTTGCTGAAGACCATTCTGCTTTTTAAGGTGTAGTATTCCCACAGTTTGGCAAGAACTAAGTCCTAAGTTAATTAGTCTGATCAGGGGGCTTACTAGTTGATTATTAGAAATATGAATGTAGTACAAAATGCCTAAATTATTATTAGTGCAACTTTTTAGCTCACTCAGAAGTATAAAAATATTGCTATCAATTTAATTTACTTTATTTTGGAAAGTAAGACCCATCTGTTTATCTGCATGAAAGCTATAAGTAAATTTTCTCTGTGTACCAAAGATTATCCATATAATTCATGACCATAAATACAAGGATATTTTTTAAAGTTTAGCTGCCAAAAAAAAAAAAAAAAAAAAAAAATCATGATTCACATTAGAAAAAAAAAAATCTGAGCTATGAATTCACTTAAATTCTCAGTGTTTCTTTACTCCTAGGCTATTAAAAAAGAAACAATAGTTTGTTGTGTTTACTTTATTCAGAGCAATTTGATTTTGTTATATTATCTGTTACTGAACTATAGTTCAACTATATGTTGAAATGTAATTTCAACAAATATGTCTCAGTGAGGAATGGGAAAGTATGAATTATTATTGTCATTTTGTTATTAAATGTACAGATATTTGTAAATTGAAATAGAACCGAATTGGAATATATACATATATATATATATATATAAAAGTCAAGATTATTTCAGAATTTTATTTTTTTCCTTTGGATTTTAGATGTTTACATTCAAATTAAATTTCTGTAATATGAAAAGTTTTTAAGGGGATTCTGAAAACATTTAATAAACAATGGCATTTGAAGTAAGACATATGAAAAGTGTAAAAATATTGGGCTTGTAGAATGATCCTGAATTGTGTTAAATAGCTGATTAAAGTGGTGGTGATGACATGGAAAACATGAGAAACAACTATGAATAATTTTAGCACTTTTAAAAAATATTAATGCCAGATTTCATTATTTTTTTTATTAGTCTATTATGTTTTCATTACTTGAATTTTTTCAGACATTCATGATCAGAACAGCAAGAAACCAGTTATGGTCTACATCCATGGAGGATCTTACATGGAGGGTACTGGCAATATGATTGATGGAAGCATTCTTGCAAGTTATGGAAATGTCATTGTTGTCACCCTCAATTACAGGCTGGGGGTTTTAGGTAAGTGACTCTTTTCTTCATCACAAGACTTATATTGAAAGATTTAGAAGGTATGTTTATTAAATGGCAGTTTGATATAAATATGTAATTGCTAATTAAATCTATAGATAAATCATATATGCTTGAACTTTAAAACAGAACTGAAGGTGCTTAGTTTTACTGTATTACATTCATATTGAATACTATTTAATGTTTTCTGGAAACTAGACTGAGTTACCTATCCCCATTTTCTTGTCGATTGTCTTCACCATGAAGAAAAATCACTTGATTTTTGTGACCTTAGTGATAGTTTAAGCTAAATTTATCACTGTATCATATTTGCTCTTTTTTCAATTATTTAAAAAGTTTTTTTTTTATTTGTTTGTTTTTTTTATTGAAATATTGTCAATTCATTATAAATTTAAAAAAAAAAAAAAAAAGAAGAAGAAGAAAAATTTAGAATAAGTCAAGAAGTTTCTTCTAAGTTTGAGGAACTCCATATGCATAATTTATACATTTAAGAAAAAGTGATACTTCTGTCTTTCAAAGACACCAAGAAAATCATCTTCATGACATTTGTAAATATTCCTGTCAATATTATATTGAATGCCAAAATACCCTTACATTCAGAACAGAATAACAAAAATATTAATTTTCTGCTTTCTCCGTGGTTCCATGATGCTTCATTTCTTCATTGGTAGTAATAGCAGACATTGCAATGATTTTCTAATTTTGATGAAAAAACATGTAGATTTTAGTTTCATTTTTTTTCTTTTGTACACTCATATTTCCATCATTTTAGATTAAAAAAAAAAAAAAAAAAGTGATTTGAGTGTTTTTAGGATGGCATTTAAAATCTTTTCTGAATAGCAAAGCTGATCAAAGTTCTTGGTCTATACTATTTTGGAAAATAAACTTTTGCTGAGTAATCTATTAATGTGTTTAATGTGATTAATATTCTGTCTCATCAGAACAAAGAAAACTGTTTTGTTTAGTTTTTACTCCTGTTTTGACTCTTGTTTAAAGAAAAAAAGGAACATTTTTTCAAAGTTAAAGGTAGATTTAAACATAAAGCCAAGAATGAAAAATGTATATTTTGTTGTATATATATATAAAATTTCGGTGTTCAGAAATTTATCAAAAACAAATAGTATACTTTTTATGTGTATGTACATAATGTTCATTAAATTGGATTTGTTGTTGTTATTAGATAAATTTTTTGCGTAGGAGCTTAGTGATAGTTACTGATCTGTTAAAAAATCTGTTTATTGAAAAGTTCTCCTTAGAGCTTTTATTGTTGTTTCTTAAAATTAAATTTTTAAGGATACAGATGACTTTAAGTTATTTAAGCTATTTGACTGTCCAGCAGTATGTATCAATCTTCAGGAAAAGAAAGTTTTCAATATTTTCATTTATATATTCCTATTATGTGAATTTAAGACTAAGGAAAGAAAGAGCGGCAGACAGTTGTTGTGGTGTTTAGGAAAAAAAAAACCTACCAACATAGTAGAGATTTATTCATATAAGAAACTGAAAAGTAATAACAAGATTTTAAATGCCCTGCAAAACCACAATGTTAAAATTTGACATTAAATATATAATTCTTCTCAGTATTAGTAAATGTAAATTTTTTGTGCACTAAAGTGTTTATTCTTTGTCATATAAGATTTATATTTGAATTAGAAAAGCAGAAGATGCTCAGAATGTGCATATATCACTTGGAAAAATCGTGAGCGTATCTCTTTTTTTTTTTTTTTTTAATTTCTGTTTTTGTGAAATGTAAATGTGATTCTTGACAATACATTTGGTTATGCCTAGAGATTGGAAGATATTAAATGAATTCCATGTATTATTGCATTATTTCTTAAGGACAGAGAAAATACAGAGAAAATACAAAGTAAATAAGCACATGGAAAGCAAACATATTTATTCATAAATTTTTAAAAAGTTATATAATTGAGAACATGTACATTCGTAAGGCTGACAGTATTTGCATCCAGTTCTTCTATCCTGAATTGTCTTCTTTTAAAAAGATTTATTTCTCTGAGTTTGTTTCATTTGTGAGTTTCTATATAGGAGGACACATGCAAACCAGATTTAAGTGTCTTACTGTGTAGTTCTATTGATAGTATCACATCCTGTGATAGAGGAATTTGCACTGAACAGAGCAGAAAGAATAACAAACAACTGAAGTCTCTGTGTATATATCTTTCCTTCCTTTGGAAAATTTGCACCTGAATGTACTCAGCTACTGAGTATAATTATTTTTATAATATAGAATCATAGAATCACCAAGGTTGGAAAAGACCTCCAAGGTTATCCAGTCTCTCTGTCCACCTATCACCAATATTTCCCATTTAAACCATGTCCCTCAGTACAACATCTGAGTGTTTCTTGAACACCTTCAGGTATGATTAGTCCATCACCTTCCGGGAGGGCTTGTTCCAGTGCCTGACCACTCTTATGCAGAAGAAAGCCTGACATTATGCATATACATTCTGTAATTAAGATATATTTAATAATTTTCCTTTCAGCTTATATTGTGTCATTAACAGAAGTAGATGTAAAATCTACTAGATGGCAACTGTAAAATATTAGACAGACAAATCTCAACTTGAGATCCTGGGAATATATCATCAACAAAGAACTGGAAAACTGTTTTCTAACAGTGATTACATATGTTTAATAAATCAGTATTTTGAAAATTCATCTTCCTAGGTGAGGAAAAACAAAAATTGCTGAGGACACTTGCTTTTCTTGACTGTCCTTCAAAGACACACAGTGTTTGGCCTTTAAAAATATATATTTAGTCATTAAATTTTTGTCAGGATAATAGAATATAAACTATGTGGGCTTTTTTTACTGCATCTGGATATAAAATAATTCTTATTCTAATTAACAGAATCTATGTTTATGCTGCAAGTTATAAAAGTTGTTGAAAAGATCTGATAACACCCTTAGAGTTTTAAAACTGTAAAACTCCTTAGGACAAGAATTCTCCACCTTTACAGATACTATAGACTTTTAAGTTGAAATCTAATTGTCTGTTGGCCATAACTGAGATACCAAAACTTTTAGTCTTAACAAGAATGCATCCCAGGTGGAAAAAAAAAAGTAACTGTAACATGGCAAGCATTAATGTTATAAATCATTTAAACTGGCTGATACATATAATTATCTTCATTTCTATCTATACTTCTTGCATTTGGCTAAATTATAAGTCTTCAGATAGTGCGCTGAGTAATATTTTTCTGTATATCCAGAATTAAGAACTAACTGAAATCTCCCATTTGGAGGACTTCAGGACTTCTGAGCTGCTCCAGGAATACAAATCTTGACTCTATCTGCATTCATATAGCACTGAAGTAAAATAACAGTCACCTGGACTGAAAGCTTTCCAATTTTATAATTATTCCTCTCTATCCTTTGGATAAAAGTACTGCTATGGGTATTCATCCTAGGATCTCTAGACTCCTAAGTATGTATACTGTGATAATATGTTTTGTACATATTGTTTTAGAGGGAAATATTTTCCCTTTGAGAATAAATTTACATTTTCGTATATAACTCCTGAATAGGATCCTTTGGGTCAATAAAGTGGAAAGAAGACTTAGCATTTCCTTTTTACTTACTATAGGGATGCTATGAGAAGCAGTGCTGTGCGGTGATGCCATGTTTGTGCCTTGTGCAATACTTTAGGATTTGGGGGATCCTGCCTCTGCCCTACTTACAATTTCCCAGGTCTAGGTTTTCCTCTTCTCTCTATTGTGGAAAAAAAAAAGGAAAAAATGAAATCCAAACAAAAACAAATGAAACAAACAAACAAAAAAAGGAACAACAAAAAGAAAGCCACAAACCCCATTTTTATATAGTTACATTAAGGAAAGTTAACATACTTAAATATGATCTTAGTGTCTAGTGTGAGCTATAACAGGCAAAATCTAAGATGATTCTAAGAATATGAATCATGTACTTTGGAACCTATAGTTAAATTAAATATCTAGCATAGTAAATAAGGCATATTCAGAGTTCAGAATTATAAACCTTATTTAAGCATTACAGAATCCACTTGTAATTTTGTATTTTCTTCTTTTTAGGATTCTAAATCATACTGATAGGAATAGTCTGTCTCTTGTCTCTTTCTTGATGTAAACATCCATTTTAAGTACTGTCTTAAAAGACTAGACTTCATTTTAGCAAAAGATTTTTCCACATGCAATTATAACTCACTATAAATGATCATAATAGGCAGTGTATATAAATCAGAGTTTAACTCCAAGGAGTTTGTGTTCTTACATAATTTGTAGAGAATTTTACCTTTCTTCGCTGCATCTCTCGTTTGTGAGTTAGAACATCAATGCACTGAAATACTGAGTGTTGCAAATGAACTGCTTTGGATTTGACTGACCAGAGGTACATCTTTGGACTACAAAATGGGTCATAAAACGATCTTCCGGATTTTTCAGAGTCACTATGGTTTAAGAGAAAAGAATATGAGTGAAAACTTACTGAGAGGTTAGTGAGTTTTCAGAGATAAATTCTGAGTAAAAAACTAATTTCCTTGTAGCAATTTGGAAGAAGCTTTTCCAGGTAAAATGAATAATGTAAAGAATTACTGACTATTAATGTGCCTAACTTTCAAGGTATCGTTTTTGTTAGTGCTTTTATATATTGTTAGTTTGTGAAAAATATATGCTGAAAGCTGTGTAGAAATAGTCAAAGAAAGTAAGTAGTATATGGTCTCTTTTTCACCTAGAACAGAGCCAGATTCCTTCATATTCACAGTGTACATTATACACAACATATCAGTTTTTTTCTTCGGCAGTATAGTTGTGGCACAGCGGCTTGTTTATGCTTGTATTTTTAGTTTTTCTCTAAATTCAGATGTGTATATATCTCTTCCTTGTCTCCAGACAGCCCTTCTTTTATCTGCTGTGTGTGTAACTCCACTAATACAGGAAATGTAAAGGCGATCTGTTGGTAGAAAGGGACAGAGATAGATTAGGACTCACGGGAATAACCCCAGAGTTTGGGTATGCTGAATGAATCACAGTTCAGTGCTTACACACAAAAAGGGAACTTCACTTCAGCTCAATTTAGCTTATAGTGAATGTTAGTATTGCTGCTGTCAACATATGCATTACTACTTTGCCTCACCTACATCTTTCAGTTTCATGCATATGATTTCCTCATTATTTTGGTCTCTGGCCTGTCTTGTTAACTGTCCAGTAATTG